CGGGTGTGTTTGTCTGTGGGTGGGGAATGGCCTATGACCCCTTCTCTAAAATGGTAAAATAGTTCAAAAATGTCATGTGGAATAACTTACCAACGTAACACAAAGTAAACCAATTGAATTTAAAACCGAGCATATAAAAATGTATGTAACAGAGCTCAAACACACTTTTTGAATATTATAAAATTCACACGTTTCACATCAAATATATCATTTATTGTTGTTTTCGAACCCCCTATTCAAAAGTGCTGGCTACGGGCCTGATTCACAAACAATGGAGGAATTCGTTTTCATGATAACTTTATAAAATACTCCAGAAGGTATTAACAAACATACAACATCATAAAACAAAAAACGAAGTGAGCACTAAATAATTATCTTGCACATATTTCCAGCATCATGATTACATTATTACATATGTGTTACTCCGACTTAGTTGAGCCGTTGAGCTGAAAAGCTCCATGGTGGTTGAAATTCACCGTGACTGGCTCTTTTTATTGACTCCTATGTACTGCCAATGTTATGTTTATCTTCGCTGGTCGTTTTTTTTCTTCACTAAAAAGGTTTGTTTTTAGGCATAATGATATAATTTACTAACAAATTGATCAGTACCAATCAGATTATTCTGACATTCTCAACGATTTGTGGTTTTATAAGTTGGCGTCGAATGAATTTTAGATATTTGCCTTCAGATGTGAATAGCCTGGGGTTTGGCACTAAACCACGAGAAAAATATACATGAATTATCTCTTATTATTCTTACACATTTACATTATGTCGCTGTCAAAATTCAGTAAACACTAGCTTTCATTCAATAATATGTTGCAAGCAATGCCTAGCGAGCGGCCTACGTGCTGACAGTTTATTGAAGTAGAATATTATTTTTTAGTTTCTGACATGTGCTCATAAGTATAACATTGAAAATATTCCGTGTCAAACTCTATGGTTAATCATTCCAGTATTTTTCCACAATTAACACACATTTCTTCAATAAAACAATAAACGACAGTCAAATGAGCTCCGAATAGCGCACACGTGTAATTAGTGACATAATATTGCTATCATGTTCATAATTTTTACTACTTTTTCATATTCAGATTTTAAAATGTGTTCAAATATTTAGTTTCGCTAATAATACAAAAGTGTGATATTAAATTGTGTTGGATTTGCGGCGTTGATGGCCAAGTTTATTTTAAACTACATTCACCCCCTCAATTTTGGTGTTAAGTCCATTTTTTAAAATTAATAGCGGATAAAAATGTATTTGTGGTGTACATATTTATTATATTCCTCAATATTAAATGACGACCAAATGTGTTCGGAACAACGTAGATGTAAAGATTGGGATCACCGACTTTGTGTATATTCGAAATAGGTGTATTACACAGGGCGCCATCACGCGCCTGTTGGGAGTCTTCTTGGCAAAGGGCTCACCTTTCTCTTCTTTCTTCCAGAGAAGACAATCTAAGACTTGTATACAAGCCCAAACATTGCTATTGAATATCTGAATCTATATTTTGGTTTTATTCACCATTTATTGTGAGCCAAGTTGCGCCTACTAAATGCATCCTATAAATCCATACCATTACGCGCATTCTGTCACTAACCATTTGAAACGTTGCTAGAAGTTGTATCTTCTACCGTGACCTCTACCTAGAAATCATATCCATTTTTGAAAAATCGATGACTACACATTAAATAAATATGACTACAATTATAGGTATACATAAAGCACAGATTATGCTGACTTTTAGTAATAAATCGTGTTTAGGATTAGGGGTTACGTGATTTGTCCGGTGGTTTCGGACCTCGCTGTAACGCATGTGGTAAGAACATTTCCAAAGATCGAAGTGGCCATAGCTGCCAGTGACCACGTGATGACCCTATGATAAACAAATTGACATACAGGCCCGTTAGACCCGGGACAACCGGCCAACTCACATAACCCCTAGCCTCGTTGTTACCCTAGCCCTAAGCACGCAACCCTGTAATATATACAACGGTTGGATGCCACTGTATCCGTTTCAATCGCTTAACTAAAAAAACACTGCAATGTTATATGAACAAATCAACAAATGGTATTATGAGATATTTGTATGCAGCATTCAATAATAATGGCTATTTTCAATGTTGAGATAAGGTGGACACATGAGGTAACAGATTCCAGGCCTGCTAGAGTATGTGAGGTACCGTATATAATATTTACATCCATGCTAAAATGTTACCTTCTCGTTCTACAAATTATCTTCTTTTAAAAATTAGTATACGTTGTTCACCATTTTAATTTTAAGTATTATAAGTAACATAACACAACACCTGCTGCAAAACATTGAGACAAGCCGGTAGGCTGGTTGGCGATCCGCTCCGCTCAAAAACAAGCACCATGTTTTTGGCTGTTTCCATGGTGTGACATAAACGCGAAGCTAACGTCGGTTTATAACTAATACGAAGTTCGCAAACACCATTCAGTTTTTGGAAGTCACTTAGTTTATTACAAGGACCACAATCACTCTCCTAGTCGAGTGACTGCGCTAGGACGTATTCTGCTGTTACATTTATTATTTCCAACCGTTTTGCGATAGCATTTTCTAGAATGAAGCGTTTCCTGTAAATGCTGGAAAGCGAAATAATGAAATAACGAGATGGTAAATATTTACCTAAAGTACAGTGTGTTGACCTTCATAATAATATACTTCATAATGCAAAACATTAGTCACGGTGAGTTATTTAAATATACGACTCCTAATCGAAAAATTTGACCACAGTCCAGAATTTCAGACGGATATTAAGAAACCTAAGAGCATATCAAAAGCATTTACTCTAAAATAT